TGTGATGAAGAACATGATGAACTTTGATGATTAAGGGCTTAGATCAATGGGTCCTTCATGTATGATAAGTTAGGTGATGGAAAACTCACGTTTTTGAGGCCTTGAGAGTATTCTTGGATGAAGTTTTTAGAGAGAGAAAGTAGAGTGCAGCCAAATGAAAGGAATGAGTGAAGGGGTCACCCTATATAAATAGGGATGAGTGTGCGGCTGGAGGATGGGTGTGCGACCGTACACTCATGTGTGCGGCCGTACACACCTTCCAAGAGGGTGTATGGCCCGGTTTTCTCACTATGGGACGTGCTGACTCATTCCTAAACTCAACGTTGGTCAAATGCAAGCTTAGAACACTTAAACGGACCCTTAAACGGTGATAAAAGGTAACGGAATCAAGTTCAATATTGATAAAGTTGACCAAGCGTACAGAATAAAAGTTTCGGGTTGTCACAAACTGACACCAGCGTCACAAATTTAAGCACAATCCCTATATGTAATGAAATGCATGCGTAATGTAGTTGTTAACTTGTTATATACATAAAATGATATAGAAACCATAGTAAAAATGCATGAAATACAACTTAAAATCGACATACTTGAAATATATTCCATCATCCACATACTTGAAATGACAAAAAATAGACCAAGACATTTAAAGCATAATTTCCATCCTAAACATTTGTAGTATATACAAAAGGTACAAGTTTTACAATCTTTCATATGAAAGCTACATCGACAATACAAACAACTATCCTAGAAACTCACATAATTCTGTAGCATGCATCTAGACTATTATACACCAAGAAGCCGACTTCAAGGAAACACAACACCACACCCTATTCCACAAACGAGTTTCCGTGTACTTCTTTTCGCAAAGAATCTGTTTTCACGACCCCAACAATAGAAGAAACGTCAAAAAAAGTCCAAATAACTCTATTTACTAACACTAAGTTGCTAAATTATACACTTCATCATGTCATTATGATAGAATCAGGAAGGAGAACTCCGGCAGGCTGCTCCTCCAGCAGCTCAGCCACCATAAGCTTCATGACAGAGTTAGAACCAAGTCCATACTTCCTCTGAGCTCTGGCAAATGCATCGCCTAGAATCCGCTCGATCCAATCCTCCATTTTTGTCATCTCCAGAAAACACGAAGCTTTAAGAATCTGCTCCATCAATCTATAATCAATTTCTAGCAAACAATCCGACCCGACAACTTTCTCAAAACAATCACCAATTCGCTTCACAATCTTCTCGGAAATTTCATCGAAATCAAACGGTTTAAAAACCACCTTTTCATCCACATTCTCAAGAAGATCTTCCAACCATGAATTCGAGTTTGCAAGAGCAGGATCACTGTCTTCCGCCACCAGATTCAAATCCAGGTAGAGGTTGTTCGTGGTGGTCCGGTAGCCACGTTTTGCAGCCTCCAAGCCACCATTGAGCTTCCTCTTGTTCTTGCAAATCGGTGAACCGGGTCGGTTAATCCGCACCACTTTTGGGCTCGGTTTCATTTCACCGAGGTCAAACCCAATCGACACGCGAATGGACCCGTGTCCACTGTTTAAAACATTTTCCTCAGTATAGTCAACACCCTCAAGATCGTGTCCAAATAATTTTGAAGTCAACACAAAGATCGCATTGCCGATGCTTACTTCCCTGAAATGGGAGTCTGAAAATTTCCTAGTGCTTGCAGCTCGGGACAAATGTTGTTGAGTTAATGCATCGGCCTTATCGATATTTTCAAGGAAAACAATCGATAATGGTTTTTTTGAAATTTCATCTGCGATGAAATCGATCACGTTTTTCCCTCTTGACTTTCGATCACAACTGTTGATGAAATCTTGACTGCTTAGATCGATACAGATCATGTTCTCCCTGTCACCCAGCAATACTTCAGCAAGAGCGGTAGCGGTTTTGTTTTTGGCAACTCTATCCGGTCCAACAAAACCGAACCAGATGCCACCCCGGTTGGGTGCCGGTTGAGCTCTGCAACGAGCTATGGTTTGACTAATGACACCAAGAGCCTCTTCTTGTCTGCCAACCCTTTTCAACATGGAAGAATACAACAATTTAGAATCTTTCTGATCGAATGAGGATGAAGTAAGGTTTACCCCCAATCCCAGATCAGTTGTTACCGAACGATCACTTGAAGCTGAAAGGGTGGAGACGATTGGTGAATCTTTAACGATTCGGGAGTTTGGATTTGAAATTGCATCGGATTGGCTTTCGATCGAAGATGTGTTTTGATTGGTGGTTTCGAGGACTTGAAAGCCTACGACAGAAGGAACACGTGGTCCGACAGTATATGTTGCTTTAGGTAACATCTGCATGTAAGGTTCGTAATGATGAAGACGCTGACAGATGCTCTGCCATTTCTTTTGCAGGCCGACAACTTTGGCGTTCAAAATAACAGGATCGTCTTGGGTTTGCACGATATCCGATTCGGGGTTTGCGCAAAGTTGAGAAGTCTGTAGCCAAGAAGGTAAGGATGATCGATAATGGTCTGAAACCGACTCATTTAGTCGTTCTTTAGAAATAGCATTTACTTCTAGCTTAAGCTTGTCATCACAAATGTGACATAGAGATCCAGAATGGTTTGAGAACCTTAATGGAGTCCTGATATCAGATGGCATAGAAAAGAATCCTCCAAATGGAACAAATGACTCCAATAGGCTGCAAATATATACCAACATGCAGATCATGATTAAAAGATTAGAGTGTACTTTATATAATATATAATAGAATTTGGATCTTTTGAGACTGATTATTCGAAGTTTCACCTGGATTTTGGGAATGTTTCAGCCATGCCAGGTCCGATTGAATTGATAGGAAGAACATGGAGGTTCCACTCTTCTTCAACGGTAGGAAATTTCTTGAAAAAGTGCATACAAATCTCATGGCTTTCTGCAGATCCAATCAACCAGACTCTGCCACCGTGAACCGCCAGCAAACCACCCAATGTCTTTACCAGAAAGCTGACGGCGTCTGATGAATTATCGCCCGTTAAAGCCTTCAAATCTCCATATTCGACTACAACACCAGGCCCTATGCTCTGTTTCAGAACATTACCCACCTCCTCTAACCTTAATCTCAACAAGGTCGCGCCAGAATTCCCATTACCACTATTCAGAATCTCATCTTTAATGGAAATAACAGTTACACCTAATAATTCTGGTGGGCAAAACGAAAAGGCACCAATTTTGGGTTTCTGTAACATTTCTAAGAAAACCTTAACTGCATCAATGGCGGATGGACCAACAAGTAGTGGGTTATTCCGGGTTTTTCCGTGGTTTCTAACGAGAACTTCGTTGATTCTTTTACAGATTTCGTTGTTTTCTGAAAACCCATGAAATGGAAAACTGAAATTATTGGTTAGATTACATAGGAAAATCGGCTGGCCCTTAAAACGAAGGAGTTGACGATGAATTGGTCGAAGTATGGATAATTTGATATCCGAATTCCTGAACCCGGATTCTCCAAATACCCGACTCACAACCGGGTCATCGAGTATCGACAGAATCAAATTCTGCAACTCAACTTTCACCATGGAAACCGAAGCTGACGACGGAGAACACGCCGCCGTTTGCTGATACAAATGAAAATTCTCAGGCTGACGCCTCTGATTCGCCTGAGATCGTTTAATAGCCGCCATAAGCGAATTCGAAACCGGAGGCTCCTCCACTCGCTGCGGAGTCGACGGTAACCGATCTAATGACACACCCAAGCACAGCTCAAGCGCTTTGAACTGGATGCGTGACGCGTACGTGCTGTTCCTCGCGCGGCCACATGCCTCCCGGAGAGGGGAGGAAGGAAGTGCGAGTAAGGCGGAGACGGCATGAAGCGACGACGTTTGAGAGTGGCAACGGCGGTGAGCGATGGACACCGCCTCGTCTAAAACTTGTACTGCCTCGGGACCTAAGCATTGCCGGGCCATATTTACCGGCGTCGGCATCCCTGACTGCCACCACAGATGAGGAGTGAAGCGTATGGAATAAATATTATTTAATTAATATAAATTGATCAATTAAAGATCTTGAACCAAGGGAGAACAAGAAGGGACAAGGGAATATATTTAAAAATTATGAATTTGGGGATGTATATATAATCAAAAGCTCAAGCATACAAAAAGTGTCCATGTCTCAAAATACCTCATTTTAATTAAATATATAATAATTAAATTAACACCGATCATCGGTCACTATTTGTATTTTCATATTTTTATTTACCCTTTTAACACAATAATAATATAAGACGGATTAATTTAGTTTTGCATATGTGAGTTAAATTGAGCTCATAAAAGAACTATTTAAAGAAAGGTGTGGGTAGGGTGATGGGGGTGGAAGGTCGTGGAGGCGCTCAATGGTGGAGATAACGGTGGCGGCCATGGTGGTGGACTGGTGGTAGTGGTGAGAAATGTGGGACCGGGGTGTTGTGGGGGCAGGGTATAGATTCTTATGTGCAATTGAGATCTCTTGTTGTGATAGAAGCTTTTTGAAGAGGAGGAAAGTGTGAGAGGCATGTGTGTGTCTTCACATGAGACATCCCTTCAGTGGGAAAGTCATGGAGCATCCAACAATTATTATACCAACTTTCCAATTTTTACATCTAGTATTTATTTTTTATTCAATTAGCAAAATTAAGTTGTACTGTTTTTAGAAAAAAAAATATTTAGTATTTATTTTTTATTCAAATAACAAACAAGTTTCATAATTTTTTTGAAAAATTTATACAAATTTTATGTGGTTTTACAAAGGTTTCAAATTCAGAATAATTTTATGTTTCATTATACCGTTGGTCCTTATGGATTAAAGCAGTGCACTATTCTCGTCTTTTTGGCCAACTTCGTAGAAAAGATAGTTCCAGTTGTATTTAAAATAACCCATTTATGTTTCTTTGTTTTTTTTGTCATTTTTGTTTTATTGTATTTTTTTCTTATACTATTTCTGATAGCCAAACAAATTATTAGATGGATCGTAAACCCGAAATTTAGTAATCCAATCGATTCAACGAACCCTTCAAGATACAGTCTTACCACTCGAGAGTTTCATTGGGCACAACTCCAACTTGAATTCAGGGATTAGGATAGCAATGGACAAATTCTTTAAAAAACAATTCAAAGAACTAAAAGAGTTAAGGAAATCCAAGTTTGTCTATTCCATTCATCCGTCTATGTACAAAAAGGTGGAAGACCCAACTAAAACAAAACTACCCACGTAGCTTAGATTTAGGGAAATAAAATAACTGTTATTAAAAAGGTCAAACAAACAAAAATAAAATGGAATAAAATTAGCTGGAAAACAAACACAAACACAGACTATGTAAACGTGGGTTTTGAGAAAAAGACAAGACTTTAGGTGCTGGAATCTGCCTGGGCTAAACTGACCCAATTCAGCCCAATCTAGACCGGGTCGGAATGATCTGTCGTCTCAGTTGGTTTCTAGAGTGTGTGGCTAACATCCTCCCCTTCATCATAAAATTTTGTCCTCAAACTTGGAATGGGTTCTTCACGGTCAAAATAGGGTTGCAGGTCAGCAACATTAAAAGTCGCAGATACACCATATTCACCCGACAAGTCAACCTTGTATGCATTGTTATTGACCTTGGCAAGAATACGAAAAAGTCCATCTGATCGTAGGCTTAGTTTGGAACGGCGTTTGGAGGGAAAACGTTCTTTACGAAGATGGACCCAAACAAGATCACCAGGTTGGAACAGAATATGTTTGTGGTTCTTGTCTCTTAGATATTTGAGCAACTCATTGTTCTTGGTAATCTTGGCATGGACCTATTAATGTAAGCGCTTGATATCAGCAACTAAGTCACTAGCTTCTTTCCTAAATTTGGTGGTGGTATCAATAATAGCAAGATCTAGTGAGGTGTGAGGGTTCATACCATACACCACCGTGAAAGGGCTTAAACCAGTAGTTTTACTTGGAGCACGGTTGTAAGCGAACTCAGCCTGCGGAAGCAGCCATTCCCACTATTTCAGGTTGCAGGTTATAAGAACTCGAAGTAGAGACCCTAGGGTGTGGTTGGTGACCTCGGTTTGACCGTCAGTTTGGGGGTGACATGTTGATGCGGGCCCTAGTGTGGAGGATCGGGCCATTGCGTTCCTAGAGGCTCACGATCGTGTGACTAAAGGGGCTTCACGGAATTGACCATAACTTTGGCTACGGATCTCCGTTTTGGGCCTACGACCAGTCAAATCGAAGCTTGAAGCAAGGAGCACGTCTAGCTAAGTACCCGAAGGGGACTTACCCATCACGTCGTGTCTAACCCACAAAAGGGGATTTACTCCCAACAATTACTCCTCAAGATTCTGGGTGTTACAACTGCACATGGACTGAGTAATTCTCAAATAAGACCTTTTTGTAATAAAGCATCAACTTGTTTTCTGATCTCAATGATCTCCTGTAGGTTGGTGCGGTAAAAGTGTTTGTTTGGTAAGACAGATTTGGGAATCAAATCAATCTTATGTTGGATCGTTCTCATACGAGGCAATCCGAAGGGAATTTCAGCCGGAAAAAATTCGGCATAAGACTACAATAATTGTTGAATAAGTGGATGTGGTTTGATCGGGATTTTGTTATCGTCCTCATCAAAATCCTCCAAAATAAATTCTATGATAGAACGATATTCATGTTGATCAGCCTTGAGCAGTGTGCTTAAAGGTAGTGATTTATTGGACTGATTAGACTGAAAGATAGGTGTGAGGATGAGTTTTTGATAATTGTAGATGAAAGAATAAGTATTCTAGTAACCATCATCTATCACTCGACAATTAAATTACCATGGATGACCAAGAAGAATGTGACAAGCGTCCACTGGGAGGACATCACACAAAATTTCGTCTGTGTAGGACCTGCCAATGCTCAGTGATAAAAGAACCTGGTGAGCAGCATGAATTCCTTTCCCATGGTTTAACCACTAAATCATGTAAAGATAAGCGTGGGGTTCTATTTGTAGACTTAATTTGTCAACTAAGGTCGGTGACGCAACAATTTTGTCATTAGGAGGTATTCAAATTCTCTGGAGTAATCTTCAGCCATACCAGTTACCTACTTTAAAGAATGCAATTATGAGATACTAGCCTGAATATAATAAGATGGAAGGAACTTCTGCTTCATCTTTTCTTTCATCTTTGACCAAGTTCGGATCTTTTCCTTCCCCCTACGCTCACGTTTCAGGCAAACATTTGATCACCATGCCGCAGCATACTTACGTAGTTTAATGGTAACAATTTTAACCTTGTTGTCCTCAGTAGTCTGTTTATAATCGAATACCAGTTCTACAGTTCAAATCCACTCTAAAAATTCATCTGGATCTAGCTTGCCATCATATTTAGGTATTTCAACCATAATGTCATTAGAATGCCCACTACTAGTTCCTTCTCTATTAACTGACTCCCCGAAATTGGAATTTTCACCACTTGATTATCGATTATTGGAACGAAGTAACTCTTGAACCCGATCTTGCAACACCTTCATATTTTGTGCTACATCCCTCTTGTCATCTTCCATTGTCTCCAAAATCTTCTTCCATTCAATACTACTTCGGGTTTCCATAAGCTATGATACCAAATGATAACCAAACAACTTATCAAATGGATCGTAAACCTAATATTTAGTAATCCACTCGATTCAGCGGACCCTATGAGATACAATCTCACCATTCGAGAGTTTCGTTGGGCACAACTCCAACTTGAATTCCCGTTACAGATGCACCATGCGAATCCAAATTAGCCTCCAAAGATCACCTCCTAAACTTTCTAGGGATTAGGATAGCAATGGACAAATTCTCTAAAAAAACAAATCAGAGAACTAAAAGAGTTAAGGAAATCCAATTTTGTCTATTCCATTCATCCGTTTATGTACAAAAAGGTGGAAGACCCAACTAAAACAAAACTACCCGCATAGCTTACATTTAGGGAAATAAAATAAATGCTACTGAAAAAGGTCAAATAAACAAAAGTAAAATAGAATAAAATTAGCTGGAAAACAAACACAAACAAAGACTATGTAAACGTGGGTTTTGAGAAAAAGACAAGACTTTAGGTGCTTGAATCTCCCTGGGTAAACTGGCCCAATTCAGCCCAATATGGACTGGGTCGGAATGATTCGTCGCCTCAGCTGGTTTCTCGAGTGTGTGGCTAACAATTTCATATGTAACACCTGGCTAAAATAAAGTACACTAAAAAAAATTAAAACAACATGAGTGTACATTACATTAAATTAATTTACAAGTCATTATTATATACATCCAAAAGAGGATTAACAGGATCGAACCGGGTTTTAGAAAATATCAAAATGCATCATTAAAGTTTAGTTGTCAAAAGATTGTATGGCTACTACATCACACTCTTTCTTTTATCCGTTTTACTTGTACCTGCAATCATAGAAACATCAAAACAATAAGCTTGAGAGCTCAGTGAATAACAAATAAGCTTATCGTAATTAACTCAATTATAATCATATGCAATAACACATAAAGTATTATTAACCAACTCTTTTCATCTCAATTATATCAATTCATGAACAATTCTCTATATTTATGATCTTTCCTTAACAAGGAAACGACCTCTTCATATCAAACTCAATCATCTCTAATGAGTTTGTACATCTTGTATCTTCATTTGATAGTCTCATTAGGAAATTCTTCCAATATATATGATCTATTTATCCCTCATAGATCCATCATACAACTCATCATAATCTCAATAATTATCTTTATCTTAATGATCTCATCATAAAATAATCCAATCATCTCTCATGGATATATCATATATATTTCCCAAACTCAATCAATTCTCATTTACACTATCATACAATAAATAAATCGTATAGTTCATATCTAATAATTCAATAACTTATATAGATTAAACTTCACTTTTATATCAACAATATCATAAGTGGGTCAAAGTTACTCACCTTTATTTACGGGCATGTGTGAGTGGTACTCTAAGCTTTTAACTTCCTTCTCCAAAGTTCTCCCCTGATTCCTTAATCAAATAAGTTCATATACATCAATGATTAAGTCAATTATATGACTTAACTCATAATAATCATC